GGCTGAGCGATAAGCCGGCGAAGAAGAAGCGCAAGAGGTGCGGCGAGTGCATCGGGTGCCAGCGCAAGGACAACTGCGGGGATTGCGCCCCCTGCCGGAACGACAAGAGCCATCAGATCTGCAAGATGAGGCGGTGCGAGAAGCTCACCGAGAAGAAGGTAAGTGACGTGTGCATTCTCATTTCTCTTCGATCTTTTCTCGTGATAAAGATCGAACATAGACTTTCTCCAATTTCGACGATATCCGGTGTAGTTTCTTTCTTTCGAGAAAGCTTCGTCATTCTCGTCGAACGTTCGAGGTTTATCGTTCTTTTTTTTTTTTTTGTAATCTGATATTAACGTTTGCACTTTGGATATCCGATTTAATGGTGATTACGTTACAACTGTATAGAAAAAGGTTCAGGGAATTGAATCGTATAATTTTTTAATGCATTAATCTATGCGAAACGTTATTTCTTATAAAAATAACGAGTGAATCACTTCATTTCATTTTCTTTTTCAATTAATCACTGAAAGTTTTCTTCACGCTCGATTGCAAGAATTTACACGTATATTTACAAGCTTCTTCGAATAAAAAGAGCTTCAAAGATTCCAATTTAATTACCAATTATTAAACCAATCATTAATCTACGTTTAGTCCAAAAATTCATCCAATGTGATCTTCTATCGCGTCATAACATAAGAAAGAAAAAAAGAAAAAAAAAAAATTAAAAGGCCTCAGAAATAACACTTTTATTAAAAACCTCAAGACTTCAAAACCCTCGAGACTCTCTCAAAACGATACTTTACCCAAATTAAAACCTCTTCTCCAAAAAAGAAAAAAAGAGGAAAAAAAATTAAATCGACGAAACCTCGAAAAGTTGAAAACCACGTTCCATCTCGATTCACTTTCGCTGGAAGAGGAATCCTGTTGCGCCACCACACAGGTTCGCGTAACTGGAGCAATTCCGCGAGAACGAGCGGATCGAAGGGGTGGCGGGTCGAAAACGGGCGCGAAAATGAAGGTTGGCTGGCACGCGACATCGGGGGCGGGGGCGAGGGAGGGGTGGTGGTGTTGTCGGCCGCCGTGTTTCCGCTCGAAATTCGTGAAAATCCAGGTGCACGCG